TTTTTTTTTTTGTCATAAATAAATCTTGATAATTCATTCATTGCTGTAGAATTTTTTGTTTCTATTCTACCAGTACCTTTCGAGTGAGAATCTTACTGTTCAGAGAATCACATATCTGTAACTATTTATTCTCAGAAATTGAAGTTTGTCAGGTTGAATACAAAATGCAATTCTATCGAATCGATATGATGAAATATAATTTACCATCCGTTTTTATAAATTTTCTGCAATAAACTCTAATTTCTCAAGAATGTCCTGATCAAATTCAACAATTCACTTTTTAAACATGAAAAACTGAGAATCAAAACTATATATAACTTGTGCCAAGTAAAACCAAATGATTAATAAACCGAATAAAACAGAAAGATACATAGAGAGAAACAGCAACTAAAAAAAATCTACAAATCAATCATTTTGACTATTCTGAATTTCAAATCCAATGCTAACCCATCGTCTTTTATTTCGTTCTTCCCTCATAGACATAAGAATTAAAAAGAAAAAAAAAAAAAGAAATCCAAGATCGTACCCATTCCAGAATATGAAATTAAAAAATTTACAGAAAATGTACAAACATTGTACAGGTGAATTTCAATAGCAAAATGTCTTCATCCTCTCTTGAAAAATAGGAAAAATCTCGAAAATTGGTTGGTTCGATCTCTATTATCGGCCGATTCTTCCTCGCGAGGGAAAAAAGAAAGGTGAGTGATCTGTTGCTCACGCTGCGTTGCGCGTCGACAATATTGACTTGGGTAGCGAAAAGGAAAGGCCGAAAAAGGGGCTGTCGGGCCTCCCTTTTTTTGCTCACTCCCCCACTTGCTCCTTCATCGACGGAACATTAAGCACACACGATAACGCATGATTAACTAGCTAATGACTTTCTCCACCGTCGCTCTCCCGCTGCTTCTAACTCGGGGGTGCTGCTTTCGCAGAATCATCGCCAGCGGGGGTGTATTGCACCCCTCGCCTTTCTTCCTGATAAGTGACAGACGTTCCTTGTCCCGTTAATCGGTTGAATAATTCGTTCGTGATAAATATGACGAGTCGACATAATTATTGCTAATAATTATTTATGACTATCGAAAGGATTCTTATCATCGGTCGTGTGAATCTGATTTATCATATACATTAATTATTTTCATTCTTTGTTCACGATACGTTATCCTGCAAAATATACTCTCCAAATGTTGAACGTTCAATTTTCTAAAAAAATTTTTCACAATATTGTAATCGAAGTCGAAAAAAGAGTTTAGTATCCAAGAGAAATATAGAGAATACAGAGAATGTAACTCAGCTACGAGTACTGAGACATCTATCGTGATGTGAGATGACTAAAATAAGGGTTGATTCCAGAAGACAGTGCCATCTGTCAGAAGATCCTTTGAATTTAAGAATAGTTAGTCGCTGGTTGTCGGTCCTGGTATTGATCCGAACTACTTGCGGAGAAATGACGGAACATAAAAGACCGCTGTGACCGAGCTTGACTACTCTGTGATCTTCTTAACCGATCACTGCTAATAATTTCCCTCGTTGTTTTATCAAGATAAGGTAATAACCTTTTACAACACGTACTCGATTTCAATTTTTATAAAAAATGAATAACAAAAGCAAAGAGTAACTCGAATCCATTTTGGAAAAAAAGGAAATTTATGTAATTTCATTTTTGCGATAAATAAACAATGAAAAGTAAGTGACATTACTATATTTCTAACAAAGCAAATTTAACACATCAAATAAAAAGTGAAATAAATTTGAATCATGGAAGAATAAGTGCTATGAATAGACGTAGAAAGGAAATTTTATCATGCAACGCGAATCGAATTTTTACGATGTATAATTTATGCAAATGTTGGCAAAGCTAATTTTCCAATTATTGGAATATTAAAAGGAAAGGTCTATTTAAATTTTACATTCCCACTTTAAAAGAAAAGAACACCCCCGAGATATAAATTTATAAAATTATCATTTACACCTTTAAGCATAATAGTGTGATAATTGTAATGCAAGTTTTAATCCAATGATAATTTCTAACGTAGAAAAAAAATTATCATTTACTCCATTTTGAGTATAACGCCCTGACAATCCTGCTGTTAATATTGTAGACAATTTCGTCTCGATAATTTTCTAATTACCATTGGCACCGATAGCAGTCTGATAAGTCTAGTGTCAATTTTTTTTTCTTTTTTTTTTCACAAAACACATTAAAAAGGAGTCGAGTCACGTGGAATGTGTCGGTTCTTTCCTCTCGTCCTTTTTCTTCGCATCACCCCCTTCTCGTCATATACCTTTTTTTCTCCCCTTCTCCCAACGTCTGTCTCGTTCTGACTCGGCTAGTGGCGAGTTAGCGGCTTAACGAGGTTATTTCACGACGTCGACTGGCTGGGCCATAGGTCGCGCGAGGATGAATAATGATTCGCAGGGTCGACTGCCGGGGCGAAACTGACTGCGCCACGTACGATCGTTGCATAAGCTGCAAGTTATACGGCCACGTGTAAAACTCGTCCACATCGTGGACAACGTTACAGAGATATATGATTCAAGGAAATTCGGTTGATGTTGAGCCATCGGTATCGCTACCATCGGAAGCATGACCACTTTTCACGAAAAAGAAAAAAAAGAAAAAAAAACAAGCTACGTTTCAAATATCGTTGTCATTAACAACATCGAAGATTAATAACACAAGAAACTTTTGATACACACGACTACATTAATACATTAAAGATGACGATGTTTCTCTATTTAGATTAAACTCGTGTTGAAGTAACATGATCCTTGTTAAAGAAAATGCACGTCATGTTTCTATCATATGACTGATAGTATCTATTTATAATATTATAGTATTTTTTTATAATATTTCTATATTTTACATTATTCACAAATATTTTCACATCATGTAGCTTATTATTAGTATGCGACATTATTTTTATATGTTGATGGTTGTACTTGAAAAAAATTATATGTGATGTTAAAACAAATTGTTATACATTACTTTAGGAATTTCATTCTACAGTTGAGTTTATTAATGACTTTTCAATTGTAACCCAATAACTGAGTAATAGCGGGAGTTTCAAACAATGACGCAGACATTGCGTTTTTAATTTATTGCCAGCTACACTTTGGTCATCGGTTTCGAATGTGTTGGCACGTACCTATGTGTATGATTATTATTAACACATCGTGGATGAAAAACGTGAATGTGTTCATTGTGTAGAAACTGGAGCTATATTGTTCATATAGTATATTACTAGTACAATACTTTCACAAAAGTCACAATACTTTCACTAAAATCTCAAAACCACAAAACTCAAAATAACCTAATCTAATACTTTCACTAAAATCTCAAAACTACAAAACTCAAAACAACCTAACCTAATACTTTCACTAAAATC